ATCCAAGGGGGAGTGTTATAAATATATTATATTATGGATGTTCATTTAGTACTCCGTTGTAAATAAGCTTCCTGAAGAATCTTATCCATATGAGACTCCACCGTAAATATGTTTATTTATTTAAGTACTCTATTGAAAATAAGCTTCCTGAAGAAGCTTATCACTTCGATACCCGGTTATGGATAAACATTACTCCCGGTAGAAGATTATCCATACCAGGTATAATAAGCTTATCCTTTCAGTATTCCGTTATGGATAAATATTGCTCTCAGTAGAAGATTATCCATATCTGGTATAGTAGCAGCTTGCACAGCAGCTTCCTTTCTTCTATAAATAGAAGAGATTTCAGTTCATTATGTACATCAGTTTGATTTCAAATAATATATAAGTTTCTCTCTATACTTGTCTTTACTTTATAGTTTTTATTTTATAACATTTTTAATTTTTATGACGAATTATTTCAAATAAAAATTGCACAAAGAAACAGTCAAAACAAAAAAAATTCTAGAAATTTATCTCTTGACGCGGAAAGAAAAATGTAACCAGGTGGACTCAATCACCGTCCCGCCCTTCTTCGGTCGTTGAGTTGTCAACAAATTATTAGTCCACTATTTTATTCAACTTTTTCTAAACCGACTTACTAAAACAAATATTTTAAAATTTTCCCATATTTCCCTCCTATATATACACTGCTTTTCCTGTCCTTTCCTCCAAACGGAACTCAACACTTTCATATTTTCTCTTCCTATATATATAGCTGGTTGTGCTCGTTCTCTGCTTTACTTCTTCCAGAAAGCTCCTGATTTTAAAGGCTAGAATGGCATACTCAAAGATGATCATTGCTTTAATGTTGGCTTTGGTGGTTGGATCTGCATTTGCTCAGGCACCAGGAGCATCTCCGGCAGCTTCGCCGACGGGTTCTCCACTACCGGTAGCATCGTCACCTCCGGTGGCGACTCCTCCATCTGCAGTAACACCTGTCTCTGCTCCTGCAAATGTTCCTACTACCGCATCTTCTCCATCTGAATCTCCATTGGCATCTCCTCCAGCTCCACCAACTGTCGATACTCCGGCATCATCTCCTATCGGTTCTTCTCCTCCATCGATCGGCGCTGCTCCCGGCGGTTCTCCTACCTCCTCTCCTAACTCTGCCCCCTTGAACAGAGTCGCTATCGCCGGATCTGCTGTTGTAGCTATCTTTGCTGCTTCTTTGATGCTTTGAATCATCTTTGATCTGTGACGATATTTTGTGTTTTATTTCGCCGGAGTTGAACAGTTAGGAGTTTATTTATGGTTTTATTTTTCACTGTTTTTTGTTCATTCTTTTTTTTACTTCTTGACATTAAAGGGCGGCGGGAGTCGTGACCGCTGCTGATTCTTTTTACTACTATCATACTCTGATTTATTCATGAGTTTCCTAACGGGTTTCGTCCTTTTCGGTTCCCTCAACTTTGTATTGTTTGAATTAGGGGTGTCAACTGCGTTAGTTGGACCAATTTTGGGCGGGTTTAAATGGATTGACTCGCTCAAAATTACATGGGCTAAAATAGGTTAGTTAAGATAGACTAAACTTTGAATTATAGTCCAATCCGTCAAACTCTTATCAAGTTGGGGTATTTGTATTTATAATCGCGTTTTAACTTGTGTCCGTTTTGCAAAAAAAATTACAAGCGTACCCACTTTTTTCGTAACTTCAGCCTTGTGCTGATGTAGTAAAGTCAATCACGCCAAATTTTAATATTTTAGTAGACGGGTTTGAAGTAGCAAGTGTGCTGAACTGAGTGTGCTGAAGTTTTTGTTTGTAATTGTTGAACTTAAGCATAGTAACTGAAGTTTTGTTCTCTATTTACTGAAATTTTTGTTTGTAATTGCTGAACTTAAGTATTGTAGTTGAAAGTTATAATAGTCTTGAATAAACCTTTCCAAAAACTTCAGCATTAGTTCATTTGTAAAACTTCAGCACTAAAAGCTGAAGTTTTTTTTGTCCTGGATTCATTAATTTTGTCATAAAGCTTTTTCAAAAATTTCGGCAGAAGATGCTGAAATTATTTAGTTCATTGTAAAAATTTCAGCACTATATAAGCTGAAATTTTTGAAAAAGCTTTCTAACATACTAGATGAATAATCAGATTGTAAACAATATTTAAATCATAAATTTTGGATACAATAAATGTGAAAAGAACAGAATTATCATTGTCTACTAATTTACGTACGTGAAAATATTCACAAATTATTCTCTACTAACTTACGTAATTATTTGTAATTTAATTTTAAATAATCTGATAAACATATTTAACTTATGGCAATCATCCCATGAACTGAAGTTTCATAGCAGCACCAAGCAGCAGAAGAAAGAAGAAGAAAAGAAGAAGAAAACGAAGGAGGAGAAAGAGGAGGAGATAGATGACTGAAGTTGTTTAAAAAGTGAGTACAAGTTAAAACTTTTAAAAAAAATGGGTATAAGTGAAATGAGGGCGACCAAATAGGGCGCACTGTGCAATTTTTACTATCATGCTTTCCTTAATTTGTGTTATTTTTTTATTGAATTGTATAATTACTAAATAAGATTTTTTGTTCATTGTTATAATTATATACTCCCTCAGTTTCAATTTATGTGAACTTATTTGATTGGAGACGGAGTTTAAGAAAAGAGAAAAGACTTTGGATCTTGTAGTGTAAAATGAGGCACATATATTTTGTGTGACTATAAATCATTGTGTAAAGGTAATTTGTTTCCAAATAAGGAAAGAAGTCTTTTTTTTTGCACGGACTAAAAAAGAAATAAATTCACATAAATTAAAATGGAGGGAGTATAACATATTTAAAAAAAAATATTTTAAAGAATTTTTTGACAAAATTACTCATACATTAATTTGGGCTAAAACTCAGCCTAGGTCAAAATATGTTAAGTTCAATAAATAGACTGACTAATAATCAGTACGCATCATTTGGGTTTTTGTCAAATTCGACAGCCCTAGTTTGAATTAAGCAAAATGAGTGAGTTGATTGTTTGACTTTGTACCTCTTTGAGCTATGAGTTAGAGTTGGATAATAAGGAATGTCGATCACGTGGTTTACAGCTGTAAAATATAAGAGACTAGTGTAGAATGGCCCGTGCTGAGCTCGGGCCCATACTTATATTGTTTTATAAAGAGTGGATAAATTTTTATGAGATGTATCAATTTTTTGTTATTAGAGATATGATTTGAGAAGGTCAATTCGGGAGGGATGAAAAGAGAGTAGCATAGCTACATTAAACTCATTACAAAATAGCACTTTGAATAATCCTTTAGACCTATGTCTGTAATGGGACAAGCAGTAACTTTACCCTATTTATTTATCGTTCTATTCCGATCCAATAAAAAATAACTCTATTTATATTTAGTCTGGTTAGTCATAGCAATATAACTATGAGCTATATATACGTTTCATCGCTTCATTGGCATTTGAATAGTAAAAAATTATTTATTTTCAGACTTTCCACAATGCTAAAAGATAGAGGGTTGAAGATTCTTCTCATCTACCTGGATGGAATTACCAAGCTTGATGCATCCACATCACATATTTTTGAACAGCAAATTAACATGAAAAATAGGAAGAACAAAGGGAAAGATATTGAAGCATTTGAAACATCTTTCAACAATTCATAACAAATTTACCAAGCAGTCGACCTACACATCTGCCGAGGAAATCATCGAACTGACCAGAACTTTACCGGTCGAAAGATTGTTGCACAAACATCACAAGGTTTCCATTGAATACTGCAGTTAAGCCATCAAGAATACCTGCTACTGAAATTTTGTTAAGTGGAGTTCTCCACTTGCAAAGATTCGTTCCACTAGGAATTTTGAGTTGTCATGACAGAATCATTATGCTATGTTGCATACTCAGTAAATCAAGTCGTCCAAGAAATGGCACAATGAAGAAAAATTCGTCCAAGAAATGGCACCTCAAATGATTGTTTACTTTACCATTGAGCCAATCTTTTTAAAGACCAAATCAATTCACATTTAGCATCGCCTCTTTAACTCCTCGATTTATATACTGAAACAGCCAAAACAAGAGTTTCTCATGAAGACTTTAATGAGGTAACGAACAACATGTTCAAGTGAACCAACTCCACAACGTTTTACTATGATAAAGTTAGCAGTAAGAAAACCATTATATATAGATCATGGTACAGTTCGCTAAATTTAAACGATCAGTCCTTAGTATACATTTCCTGAGGAAAAAGCACATATGTTCAACAACGATATTAATACAAAACGGATCCGTGTCGAGGTCTCCAGCATTACATGAACGGAATTGATGAGATACATCAAAATAATGTAGGTTTCCCCATCATATGGCTGTCCAACGGGACGGGACGTCCCGCTTCAAGTTAAATGGGATGGGCCAATGTTAAACGGGACACGGGATGGGACGACCATTTCGTCCCGTTTGTCCCGTCCCGTCCCGCCAGTTTTTTTTTTTTTTTTTTTTTTTTTTTTTTTTTTAAAAAAAACTAACCGTTGGGCAACGGCTT